GAAAGTGTTTCTATCATGCTCGACATCTTGACATACTCTTACAAATAAAAAGAAAATTAAATATATAGCATAAACGTTCACAGAAAATTCGGTCAAGCGAGAAGCGACGAAAAATCATTCAAAATTTTGCCAAAAAAATGAGGTTCTAATTGAAAAATCATGTTGCTCTTGAAAGAGTACAACTAAGGCTATTTACCTTAATTTCCATTTGTTTTTACGAGAATAGACTTTTTCTGAGCGAGCTCAAAATAGTTTTTTTCTACCTCCTTACATGAGTAAATGATACTGTACAACGTCATTGGTCTACATATATAGAAGACAAACAATAAGTTTCCAAGCTTAATTGTCATTTATAATAGAATACCTACTGTAATTTGTAGTGCTTTTCTTAAACTTATATTGAAGAATCCATTAGCTAAGAACCATATGACAACAAAGTACTTTTTGTGGCCTTGTTGTTGAAAATTCCTGTTATTGGTAAAAAGAACCATCGACTGTAAACGGATGAAAAACGCCATGCAACGATTGTATGATCAATAATGGTTACACAAATCAACTTATTAACATGAAATTTTTTACCAGTAGACTAAAGATTATGAATTGTTATCTAATGAAGCCTAAATTATTCCACTTTATCTGGTTTTAAAGATACATACAAAGTAAAATATAATTATCTACTGGCTTAATGATTTTGACGATCGCTGTTTACATTTCTGCTAAGAGGTTTTCAAAAAAAACAAGGATAATTCATCATAAAAAATTTTCAAGATTTTCTGAGATATAATGAAGATTAATTATATATCGATGAACATAAGTGAAATTACCAGAACTGAATTCGATTTTGTTTTCAAAAAGATATTCGAACGTAGTCAAACCTTCTTATGTTATGAAGACGTCATTGACGATTAAGTACAATATTTTTAAAGACAACGTTGGAAGAAACATCTATATAACATTGTTCCTATATTTTGTTTTATTTCCTTAAGCAAAAGAAAATAAAAATTTAATGATTTTTTCTTACAACCATATTTTAAGTATTTCCATGTCATAGTACCTGATAGAAACTTTGAATTGAGTATTTACTATCTAATTAGTTCCAACCAATGAGAAAACAGACAGGACTATTTTGCTTTTTATTTCAGCTCTTATATCATCCGTCTTGTTCTATTAGAGAACCCGTTTTAAGCTAGAATGACTTCGGTGGTAAGCATATTAATCTCAAAAAACTATTAACAAAATCCTTGTGAGATTAAAATGTGAAGTATGATGAAGTGGTTGTTGCTAATCATGAAAGGATTATGTTATTCTATCTATTTTGAAATACATTTCTTCAGTATCTTTTTACATAATCCTTCAGGAATGCATTAAGAGAATAGTTGATATATAATAGTGAGACGTTATTCATATAGGATCTGTACGAGGAAATGTGATATTTTCATCTCGATACTTCAAAACTTCTTTTAGATCAGAAGATTATCATCACTTACTCGATTTTCATGAGCATACATATATATCTTGATATTACAATCGTTGGAATTGTATATGTTCTTACTTCTATCTTATTGTTATAAAACTATTGTTTGTTTTTTATTTTTGTTTTGGTTATTTTCATCCTTTAAAGATAAATGTAATTATAAAAAGTGAGTGATTGCTATGGTACTTAACCTTAATAATACAGTCACGTTAAACTTTAATTCTCACATATAATTAACCCTTTCACGGCGATTCGATTTTCCGAGGAAAATAACTTCAACGTATTGATTTTCAAGCATATCCACGCTTGATAAATGCGTTCACTGGTATTTTCAGTATGTGCAACTATTTATTTTTCTTTATCAAAAGGTGACATTTGAGATGATATTTGAAGTGTCAATAGTAAATACTTATTTGATTTACAAAGAAAATTATGATACAAGCCGTATGACGGTGATACAGTTTCGTGAAAGTCTTGTTTGATCTTCACTTCTTGGTGTGCCATTCGAGAATCTAAAATCTGGTTCAAGAGAACGTTCAACAAGCCAAACAAAGCGCAAACTCGCGAATCACAAGCTCGAAGAAAAGAAAGGATCTCACCGCGATGTCCGAAGATGCTGCGTTGGCTGTTACGAAAAAAACAAGGAACAACAATCAAGAGAAGGGTGCCATGCAACATCAAATAGAATAAAAACTTTCTGTTCTGATTGTAACAAATGTTTTTGTCTTGATTGTTTTAACAAGAAGCATCACGCTATGCAATAAATGATTTTAAAATTAGCGAAGGCAGAGCAGATCACACATTACGTATAACCTCCCGCCTAAGAATAAAAGAAAAGAAAGTGTTTTTCTATTAAGTTTCTTGTTAAAATATAGTGGGGTTCACTGGTGGACCCCATCGCCGTGAAAGAGTTAAGGAAAAACTGTTTTCAATTATATTATTATGAATATTTATAAGTGATTTATTTTAGAATCGAGAATTATTATTATGTAATATAGATCATCGATTTTCTAGAATGAATGAAATTGTATAAATATTTTAGCTAGTAGTTGAATGAATAATGTCTAATGCAAGATCAAAATATGATTATCATTCTATTTAGAAATATTTCTTTAAGATGTTTGAGTATTGTGAAGAGCAAGCAAACAATCATATAAAAATTACAAAAAAGAATATTATTTAAGGTGCTTGATTGTATTAATTATATTAAATTGTACACAATTCAAAATAGTATATTTTGATTATACTCTATTCTTTTTTTTAGTTTATTTATTATATATTTCATTTTTTGATAAATGTTCTGTTTGAAGTCAGATTTGCAAGGCATTCGTCATCAACTTTTTCATAGATAGCAAGTTTAAATAACATACAAGATTTATATTATTTATAAGAAGCAAGATGTATTGAAAATAAACTATATGTAAATAATGTTTACCTTATGAAAATGATGAATAATATTTTATAGATAGATAAGAATATAATTACTCATATGACTCTATCTTACCAGTATTTCAAGAATAATCCTCTTCTCTATATTTTAATGATGTCTCTTTTGGTATTCGTTGATTCAGACGTTTTTTTCCAAACAATTTTTTTTTGAATTCTTTACCACTTAGAATATATTTTTTATTTCTGTTGATGCCTCCAACCAATGTTTCTTATCGATAATTGAAAAAAAAATGTGTCCTGAAATTATTATTAGATTCATTGATCACTGTATGTTCTTGTAGTAATACTGAAATATGAAAATAAGATCTTTGAAAAAGATTACAGTAAAACGATGCACAACTCTAATCCATCAATCAATTAACATGAAAATGATGCCAGAACAACTTTTTTTCTACTGTCGATAAAAAAAACTTTAACTATGATATAGTCCAAATTGAAATTTTGAACTATTTAATATCGGAGTCATTTTCTACTTCTATTATTTTACTTAAAAAAAAAGGTAAAACCAAACGGTATTATTATTGAGCAGTTGAAACATGTGTTCAAAAAGTGTGTTGTTTTCGACTATTCGTTTCAAGCGTGACTGTAACAATCATTCATGTTGCCTATACAAATAAAAAAGTATACAGTATGATAGAGAACTAAAGGGCAAAATTGTTGAATAAAAACCTACATCAATAAATATCATTAAAAGGAACACAAGTCCATTATTTCTAAAACAACTGTTTATTTTTCTATTTGTTATTTTTATCTCGCTTTGATCACATGCATAATAAGGATCTTTATTTATGAATTTGACAGATATCTATCAATAGATATGTTTATGTTGCGGTAGATTCCATGTATATTATTAGTTATAATAAGAAATAAACTTAATTATCATGTATTTTTGAACATCAATAACTATAAGGATCAGCAGTCATAAAATGTATTATGTGGTAAAATTAATTCTGCATATATCATTGAACATCGATAACCATAATGTTTTGAAATAATTGTTTATAATACTAAAGTTTGTTTTTGTGTACTCAAAAAGTGAGCACACTCTAGAATCGGTCAGGGTGTCCGTCCGTTCGGCCGTTTACACGATAACTCTTGAAAGAGTAGGCCGATTGTGATGAAATTTTCTACAAAGAATCGTCTCATCAATATCTCGGTTGAGTTCGAAGATGAGAATGATTCGTTAAAAAATTGCTGAGTTATCACAAAAATACCATTATTTCCTATGCTTTTCTATGCGAACATTGACCTATCCCGGTTTTCGTAAAAAAACTTTCTCTCATAATCAAACAAAACCTCCACTATTATATACCATTCGATAGAGAATTTCATGGGCTACAAAATGGTATATAACACATTAAGAAACAAGAAGGCTAAGTCACCTATTGCAAAGATACTTAAACAGAAATTGCTTCCGTGTTTTTACTTTTTGAAGTACACATAACACTCGGATTTAAATCCGAGGTTTCTACATTTATTTTGACTTACAATGTTTTTGTGACCCATTGGGCTTTAAACAAGGGAGAAAAATGTACTCATTAGCTTGAATATCGATCAGGCATAATCATATTTTGTCCTCAAACTTTGACTTCAAGCAATATTTCCAGTTCTTTTTATTCATATACAGTAAAACCTCCCATAGTGAACACCTCTATATAGTGAACACCTCTCGTCTGAACGGATAATCTGAACCGCCCGATCGATTTTTGCTGTAAATAGACCTCTGTATAGTGAACACCTCCCAACTCTGAACAGTGAACACTTTTTTTTGGTCCCAATAGTAAAAAAACCTCTATATAGTGAACATATGTACAAGAAAATATGCGCTTGAGAAGATAAAAATCGAGGACAAATATTGTACATTTCGAAGCAATGACCGCTAAATTTATTGACGGTCTACTTATTATAAAAAAAATGGTCGCATGCATAAAATAAAAGACGAATGATAGTCAAAAGTTCATCTCTAATTGATATGTCGCATGTATTGAACAAAAAGAACAATAAGAATGAATAGGCAATAACGAATTGGTCGTCTGTGTCTGTAAGAATATCACTCCTTTCTATTCACACTTGTAAGATGGCAGCAAGACGCGATTTAACACTTGCTGAAAACGTAGAGTTGATTCGTAAAAACGAACAAAATGTACCGTACCGTAAATTGGCTGGTGAGTACAAAATCTCGATCGGAAGTGTTTCAAATATTGTTAAGCGCAAAGTTGAGTACATTGAGAATTATGAACAAAATGAAAACTCAAACAAGAAGCGTAATCTACGTGATGAATTCAGTCAACAACTAGATCAGAAAGTATATGAATGGTTTGTACAACAACGCAGTAAGAATATTCCTATCTCGGGTCCTCTTTTGCAAGAGCAAGCAAGACAAATTCGTCAACAACTAGGTGGTTCAAATGCTGACGATTTCAAAGCAAGCAATGGTTGGCTAGAAAAGTTTCGCAAACGTCATGGTATACAATATCGAACTATCAATGGTGAATCAGCATCAGTCGATCCTGCAACTGTTGACGAGTGGAAAAAGCGCCTGGTGGTAATGATTGACAAATATAATCCCAATGATATTTATAATGCAGACGAAACTGAATTATTCTTCAAAGCACTACCAAATCGTTCGCTTGTTACGGCCAAAGATTCTTGCAAAGGCGGGAAACGGTCCAAAGAACGTTTTACAGTTTTGCTGTGTACCAATATGACAGGTACAGACAAATTAAAACCGCTTATGATCGGTCAGTTCTGCATTTTCTGTTTAGTCTTTCCTTATAATAAATGTTAATGTTTCCGTTTTAGGTAAATCTGCTAATCCACGATGCTTCAAGAATTTAAATGTGAAAAACTTACCTATTACCTGGCGATCAAATCGTAGCAGCTGGATGACAGCCAGCCTCTTTGAAGACTGGCTGATTACCGTGAACAAAAGTATGATTAAACAAAAGCGTAAAATTTTATTGTTTATGGACCATGCACCATGTCATAATCCCGACGTTGAATATTCCAACATATGTGTTAAATTCTTTCCTCCAAACACAACATCGAAGCTACAACCACTTGACCAAGGTATAATCAAGAATTTCAAGTGTTATTATCGTAAGTATTCTGTTTTTCGACATTTTGAAAAATATAACTGACTTCATTTAGGTCAACATCTTGTGAAGCATGTAATATCACGTTGTGCCCTTGCTACATCACCAGATGACATTATTATTACTGCTCTTGATGCTGTAACTTGGACAAAAAATGCTTGGGAAAGTGTCACTCAATTAACAATCCGCAACACATTTCGTATGGCAGGCTTCGCTCATCCAAATACTCAAGATACTATTAGTGGTACAATCGACAATGAAAATGATACAAATGAAGAAACTATTATTGATGATATTACAACAGCATTAAAAGATCTTGATACTCTTCTTGCTCATATTCATATTGATGGACAAAGTCTTTCAGCAAGTGAATTCGTCGAAATGGACTTAGATACACCAACTTTCAATGAATGGAATGAATCTGACAATGATGTAATCATTGTCGATGAAGAATATGTCAATAAAAAACATAATAATAATGATCAGGATGATGATATACTAACTGAAGCACCACCAAAACTCATCGATGCAATGGAAATGGCTAAAAAGTTACACCTGGCTTCTACTCAATATCCAAAATTACATTCACTTATTTCTCAATTAGATTCACAACTGACTCAACTCTTTATCGATTCCAAAGGTGCGAAACAAACTAAGATTGATGATTTCTTTTGTAAAAATTAAATAAAAATGTATAATCTATAAAAGAAATATTTTTTTTGTTATTTTGTTTTATAAAATTTGAAATAAATATATGTCATAAATTGAAGAAATGATTTTTTTATTCTATGCACTAAGTAATCCGAGGAAATTCTAACAAAAAACGTGCGTACTCATCAACATGTAACACTCATCATACACAGTATACATGTAATAGTTTATTCATGATGACACCTCTATATAGTGAACACCTCCTATAGTGAACATGTTTTAACCAGTCCCATTAGTGTTCACTTTAGGGAGGTTTTACTGTAATTATTACAATCCATTACATGCGCAATTGCCATTCTCCAAAAGCAGTCAACCATTTCATTTTTTTTTGTGTTTTTTGTTTCTTTACATAATACTTCATAATTACCTCTGCGTTTTCACTGCGTTTATCTCACACAGCTCTATAGTATATAAAGCAACAGATTTTTACAACAAAACGACAATCAGCTTCTCATCAATGCAAGGCATTTAGTCTCAATTAGTAACAAAACACTTTTATCAATAATCATGGTGAGTTTATTGTCTTTATTTATTTTCATTCTTATTTATAATTTTTCATCTTATGTAGGTCTTTCAGAGAAGATTGCAACTCGTCACGTGACGAGTTGAATTTTTCAGAAAAAACAGGACTTTCGTAACGCTAAAAATAGGGATATACGAGAAAACAGGGATATCGTAACAAAATTTACAGGGCAATCGTAGCTGTTATTTACAGGGAGTTCGTAACAGTTGCAGAGTTTTCGCAACGAGCCAACAGGGATTTCGTAACAAAAATTAGGGGTATCGTAACGAAGTCACATATTAAACCACCGGTTACGATCACCCTGTAAAATTCGTTACGATAGCTCTGATTTTTTGCTACGAAAGCCCTGATTCTGTCGTTACGAAACCTCTGTTACGGGCTTTCGTACTGTCAATTCGTTACGAAAGCCAGACAAGAAAAATCGTGACGAGTTGCAGCTTTCCCCTCTTTCAATCTCCTTACCATTCATCATTCGGAGCATCAACATCAAGCTGTCCCGGTTGCGCATTTTCTCAACCATTAATGATTGCACAACCACTCTTTTATCCGCAACCAACGTATTAGCCAGGCACTTACTAATCAATATTTAACGTCTATTCTAGTCAAGCTAGTGTATTAGGATGCTAGGAAATATCAAGTATTACTCACAAATATAATTAAATATGTATTCTTTAGTTTTTTAAATAAATGTTGAAAAAAAAATCTAAAGATTAATCTTGTTTATGTATCGTTGCTTTTCACAAGGAAAAGTACGGCGCCGTCTGACAAAATATACTGTGATATATTCAAATTGGTTTTTTTCTGAGTATCTATCTATTTGTTCAAGACAGAAAATATTAATTTAATAGAAAAAAAACACAAAACTATTCGAACCGTCATTTTCGATGAAAAATTAATAACGTTGGAAAATCTGTAGAGTCCCAATTATAACTATATGCATTTCTAATGCAACCCATAGGAAAGATGCTATTTCTGAATGCGTCTCTACATATTCATTGCCTTTACATTTATCTTTAACTAATTGCAGCTAATACTCCATTAGCAACTTAATTGTTCTATCAATATATAGAACATACGCTTGCAAACATAGGTATATAAAGCACTTACCAACTCATTCACCGTCACTTCCACATCAAGACAGACATCTGCAATCATACTCTTGAATGCATGAGTTTTCGCTTAAAGAATATGCAAATGGTAATCTTACCAGTATGGGATTTACTATCCAGTATGAATCATGTGTGAAAATAATGCATACTAAAAAGTTATCATTTTTTTATGTTATTTTGTTGTGTACTATTGATCATATTTCTTTCATCAAAGAAAATGTCAGATGATCATTCCAGTTTTTAAAATATCTTATTAATATCGCGTGGGAAATTAGTTAGAGACAAACATGAGGAGATGAATTCTTCCAGTCGGATTCTTTTTTCTTTAGAATAATTGAAATGTCTATTCCATCAGTAAGTCTTATTTGATAAGATAAAATATGATCGTTTCATTGAGATTAATATCAATTAGAAGTTCAACAGTAAATATAACTAAAAAAAAAACATATTTTAATATTGGCAACGGGCAGGAAAGAAAAAAAACCATCCCTCATACTTGTGAGAATACAACAATTCAAAATAGGCATAATTCGTGTACTAGATTCCGAAGAAAGCTTCCTGAATCCTCAGAGGATTCTTGTTATGATTCTTCGGGACATTATTAAAGAGCTCATTGGAGATTATTTTATGAAAATTGAACTAGAGCTACTCATTTCTTGGTTTTTAAAAAATTGTTGATTAATCAGCTTTATAAATCGCAATGAAATCGTTGACATTTGCACGATTTTAAGGATATGGATTAAATGAAAAATAATTTATTGACCTATAGTCGATTTTATAAAAAATATAATGCACTCGGCAAAGATAAAACGACTGTGGATTACATTGTTTGACATGAATAGACGAAAGATGTACACTGATCGAAATCAGAGATGGGCAGCTCCGGTTGCCGGCTCCGACGATAGTTGGTGAACCAGCGACCCAGAACAGATTATGCATACGTCGAATTTAACATCATTCGACGCAGAAATGTTTGCTCTTTCCAGCTATGTATTTAGCTTGGCTCTTGTCTTCCATTAAGAAGAGTATTCATTGAGACAAAGTTGTTGGAGCCGGTAATCGGAGCGGGAGCTGAGTTCGACCGGCTCCGACGACTTTGTTTCAACGAATACTCTTCTCAACGAAAGACAACAGTTAAGTTAAATATATAGCTGGAAAGAGCAAACATTTTTGCGTCGAATGATGTTAAATTCGACGTATGTATAATCTATCCTGGGTCGCTGGTTCACCAACTTTCGTCGGAGCCGGCAACCGGAGCTGCCCATCTCTGATCGAAATATTGGGGTTTCGAAAACAAACAGACTCTGTCAACTGCATCACTATTCGTATCCTTTCAGCCGAAGTATCGTGTTTATCTATCGTTATCTGTTAACAGTCATAAAGCAATTCTTAGGAGATAAGTTCATCTCAATCAGACAATACAGTTCAATTCATGCTTTGGATACTTTTGCAATATAACCAATGAGTCTCATGAACCCTAATAAGTGGATGCACGTCGTTTGCACTCATTTTTCAAACAAAAATTATGAACGAAATCTGAAGATATTTCACTTATGAAGGACAAGAGATCTCACTCCTCCATTGGCCACAAGTACATCGACATCTGCTTCAATAAAGTACATATTTTGGTATAATGGTCAAAGTTGGCTTCAGTGGTCAGATTCATGGCCTCACATAAAAATCATCGAGGACTAGCATGCTTTTGGTTATTGTTTTGAATACATGATTTGTTTCTTTGGCTGAATACTATGATTATTTTTCTCTTGCAAAACTCAACTCCTTCACTGCAAAAAAAGTTTATCTTGAATAAATAATAATCAATGAATAGATCAATCTAGCTTTTGTGTATGTCATAACAATATCAAGAAATAGTCAGTATTGCGTTGAATTATTGAAATAGGACTCAATGATAACATTGTTTAATCTGATTCTGAGTCACTGGATATAGTCTTCTTTGGTGTAGGAAAAACATCTTTAGCAATATCAGGATGCATCCAAGAATCGATCCATGATCGAATAGGCTTAGCTTTAATAAATGTTCCCTTTCCCGTGCAAGATCTTCCTAACTTTTGACATTTGGCACACAAATCACTTCGATGCTCTTTGCTTGGATCAACCATATTTCCATCAGCATCTTCTAGCAGTTCTAGTCGATGAGCAAAAACATATCTAGAATCTTCTGAGTTCTCCTCATCTAATGGCTGACAAAGTGTTGATGACGTGCAGCGTTCACATCGAAGACCAGGAGTAACGAATTTCCAGTGCCAAATATGTTTGCACTTGTTGCAAATATATGTGTAGAGTTTCTCCAAGTGAAATGCTTTGATTGCTATCGAACATCCTTTACATTTCTGCCCATAATCGGCCCAAGCTCGACAACTCTGCCAACTTTTCCTACACTGTAAACATTTGTACTCGCCAAAACATGGTTTGTTTTTTCCTAAATCACCAAAAGACATTGCTGCAATAGAAAGTCAAAAACTACTAGACAGTAAAATGGCAATTAAATGTGCTTTAGGACTTTATGATGCTCAAAAAAAAAATTCCCAGTGTCTATCATGTTTACTTTCTCTTGATGCATTCAGTCAACAAAGATGTTTTGACTATCGTGAAACTTTTTATCAGCATGTTTAAACACATGCATCAAAACTGATAAGCAGACGACAAACGATGAATTCATTTTTATGAAGTAACAACATAAGCTCCGATGAAAGTTTAGCTATATGTCACCAATTAAAGAACCATTAAAATACTTCGATGCAGTTTTCATTCAAATTTTTGAAAAGAAAAGGCTTTAAGCAACACAATAATTTTGGTTAGTGCCATTGACAAACAATATTCGTGTGAAAATTGAATTTTAGGCAGCACAACCAATTTGAGAAGTATATATCTCTTATTGTGTTCTTTAAATGTGGATCATACGAAATGACAACAGAGAAATTTCTTCCATATGTCTTATTCACAATAAAACACTAACACCCTCCCCAACACTTGACCCAATAAGGCTTTCCTTATTGCAGATAATCTACTTTACACTGATGTTGTCTATACTAGTGCTTGTATAGTTGCTGTAAGCTGATTATAATATGCAACTGTAGCCATAACCGTTTGCTAGAGACAGATATTGAAAAGTTCTTTTTTTT